AATGACACTTTAATGATGGTGCTATATAGCAGGCACCATTTTAAGTACATTTTACCCTTAAAATGTGTTAACACATTTAATCTCCTTCCCAAATCTAAATGAGGTAAATATCATTATTGTCTCTGTTTGCTAATGAGAAAATGGAGACTCAGGTAGATTGAAGAACTGCGTGCAGGCATGCAAGAAAGAGTTGCAATTCTATCACAGAGGTTAACTTCTAAGACCATATTATTAATTAGTACTGATTAGAATTCAAGAAAATATTCATTTTTTTAAGGCTATTGATATTACAGTATTTATTAAATAGATGAGGCAGCTGGATCGCACAGATTAAGCTGGTGGTGGGTGGTTGATAATCCAAATCCTTGAGTGGTGTCACGTTCACTCTTCTCTCTCTTTTACATATTGCTAGTACCTGAGAATATGGTAAGTTTCAGGGTATCTTGTTAATTTCTGCTTAAGTATTTATTATTGAAATTGAATTTCATTAGTTATTAAAAGAACTCTGAACAGTGCCTTGGTGTAGCTTCTCAAGTTGGTGTTATGAGTGGCAACTAGCTTTTTGATCAGTTTCCCACTGAGTTTTAGGTAAGCTTGACTTGTTCAGTGATGGTAACCACACTGTAGTTACACATACAGGCTCAAATTATTATTATTTTATGTGCTTTATCAGAACATTTTATTCTTTGCTAAAAAATAGAAATAAATATAACTTCACATCTTAAAACCAATGCATAAAAGGTGGCAATTAATAGTAATAGTATGCCTGTTTAGTCTTTTGTTTCCAAGGCATAGATATGGATAAAAGAACTTCTTGGAAGCCTATTCTTAATAAAATTGAAATAAAACACTTATATTTAGTGTAAGAAATAATTGGGGAGAGAAATGTTGAATATAATAGTACTTGTTAACATCTGTTGCTTTCCTGTTGACAGATAAATATTACCTTCAAATGAAACCAGCATACTTTATTGTTTGGAATAATACAATGAGCAGGGTTTTAATATAAAGAATCCTAAAATTAATCAAAAGCAGCCATTATTTTGTAAAGAGATAATTTCAGTTTACTATTAATTCTTTTTTTTTTTTGAGTGGGGATGATGTATTTAAATTTTTTCCACTGTAATGGGAGAATAAGATAAAAGAAACCAAAGTTTATGTAAATGCAGTTTTGTGTTTACAGAACTTTGGATTCAAAGCACAAAATTGTTACTACTCAAACTTTCTACAGGTCTATAAAAGTAGTGGAATGGTTTGTAACTATTTTAGAACTAATTTCACTCAACCCATACAGTAATTGACTCAGATGATTAATTTTTAGGTGTGAACAGAATAAATGAAAAAGGTTTTATCTGAATTTTATTAAGCATTCTATCATTCTTCTTAACTTATGAAAGAACAAGTCAATACTTCAAAGTGTAAAGAATGTTTGGTTTAGAGAACTATGCGTTCTTGTCTTTTTTTTTTTTTTATGTGAAGTACAGTGAGATGGCCAACTCTTAAGTAGTAGAATATCTACCATTATTAGTACAGGCTGAACATCCCTGATTTCAGAATCTAAAATCTGGAATCATAAATGTTCTTAAATCCAAAACATTTTGAGTGCTAAAATGATACTCTATCTTAAAGTCCATGCAGAGACTTCCAAATCTGCAAAACTTGATCTCAGACACTTCTGTTCTCAAGTATTCCGGAATTTTCAGTTTATTAATATATGCCAGGAATGTGTTCTTGTTCTTGCAGACCTACAGGCTTCATACTGTATAAACACATCTCCTTGATGTACTTAGTTTCTGTGGACAGACTATCCCCTTTGATTGCCATGTTCTAGTCTTGAATTTTTGTGATACTCGTGAGATCACTGTAAATATTCTTTGCTTGTGCTGTCATTTTTAAAATTCAGTTAACATGTACCTTTTTTAGAGTCTGCTAAATGCCAGGCACTATTTTAGGTGCTGAGGATATTGCAGTAAGCAAAATAAAAATCCTGTCTTAAAGGAGTCTTTAATTCTGACTTGGGTATGGGGGCAAGGTCCTATTTATCTTTTACATGCTATCAGTTGAAGCAAAGTAAAGAACTTAAGGTGCTTTTTTAGGAAGCACTTCAAAACCCTAAAATTTGTTTTGAAATAATTTGTTTTGTAGAAACATCTGTAAGAGAACAAAACAGCAGAGAGTGTTTTTTTGTTCATTTATTTTTGTTTTTGTTTTTGAGATATAGTCTTACTATGTAGCCCAGGCTGGCCTTGCACTCCTGATACACCTGCCTCAGTCTCCTGAGTGCTAGGATTTCAGGATTGCATTCCCATGTCTGCCTTGTTTTTGTTTTTTATTACATGGACTTTGGTGATCAGATCTAAGATTAAGGCATATTTGGTAGAAGTTAGTTTCAGAAAAATTATTGGTTATATATCTTAGGTGAAATGTATCCTTTAAATCAGAGAAAGTTCAAGTTACTTTCTACCTGCTATACACAAATCTGACTGGTTACTCTTACTTATAAAATAGGGGAATGGTGGAAATGTGACTGAGGGCTAGGCTGTAACCTTTCTGTCCTTTCTAGAGGCAGTATGGTGTGCTAGCTAAAAGCGTAATCTGTTAGTTCTACCTCTCTGGCTGTGTTCAAACCATGGCTCTGCCATTTATTGCCTTTATGGGAATGGACAAATTCACTTCTGCTCAAGTTCTTGCTGTAATCTGAGGAACACTGTCATCTGCTTCATTAGATCGGTAGACTGAATCGGGGTATTGTATATTAAAAGCTTTGTATACTGACTGGCCCAGTAAGAGATCAGTAAATGTTAAGGATGATTTTTGCTGGTCGTTGCTGAGATAATAATACTAGTAACATTACTGTCAGCACATTCAGAAACAGACCAGTGATGCTGTGTGCCTTGGAAATGCTACAAATTACCTTGGGGCTCTTCAGGATTACCTTTCAGAGTGGGCTTCTGAGCAGAACTTGTTTTTTAATGTGTTTTAATAAGTATAGCTAGAATGTTTTCTTATCCATTTCTGTTCAGGGACAACAACAAAGTGTTACACTTTTTAGACTCTAAATTCCAAATAAGTATTATTTTGCTGAGGTTCCCAGTACTACTCTTGTATCTGATCTGTGGTAAATATAAACCTCATCTGTGATACGTTTTTCTAAATACATTTGGTGTAGCTTAAGGAACCGTGTCTTTTTTAATTAGAAAAGGCATAATGGCCAGCTAGTTTAATTTCCCCTCATTCTCAGTTCATTACTGTAGTTTGTTGTTGTATTGGAAGCATGAGCATTGTCGTCACTATTTCATCCAGGTACTTACCTTTTTAACTTTTCATTTCAGTGGTTTGAGATAAAGTATTAGGGGTTGACATGAAAGAGAGTAAAATAGGGTTTTATTTGGCGACAAATGAAATACTGCGATTGGGGCAGTTGAATCAGCTGAATCATGCAGAATCATTCAGTGATCATTCAGTGATCAGCTGAATAATGCAGAAATTTAAAAATGTGAACTCCGTTATCTTCAAAATGCATCTCCATTATGTAGTTTGCCAGGATACTATGTGCTAACTGAAAAACTGTATTTCTGTTGTTACGATATAAGAAACTACTTAGTTTATCTCTTGGGGGGAACCTTGATTTTGAATAATTTGCTGTCGGTTGATGAATCATCAATCAGACCTCATTAGCTTCTCCCCTCTGCTTTAAAACTGTCCAGTGGTTTCTTATTACTTTGTACATGAAGACCACTCGCTTCACGCATGTAAGTTTCAGATGTTTATGAAGTGTTTCTTGTGCAAAGCATGTTTCAAAACCTAATACTATAGGAAAGTGCGATCCTAATTCTTTTTCTGAGGCTGTGATAAATTTTAGAAAAATGCCATTGATACTCAGAAATATGAGAAAAATGCTTTTAGTGAACTATGAAAGCAAGGCAATTAAGTTTTTTTTTTTTTTTTAAAGGTTTGACTTTATTCTTAACTCAGAGTGATTCAATTGTTTTCATGGATGTGTTGAATGCTAGAGCTAAAAGGGGCCTTACAGATAAAGTTTAAAGCCCTTCACTCCAGAAAATCATGTGCCAGAGACTACATTGTGTGTTAGTCATTTCTGTTTCCTATAACTGTTGATTTAAAAGTAAATTGCTCTGGCTTATCGCCACACTGTGATTAACTTCCTTTGCCTTTAAAATTTATTCTTAATTCCATCCAGCCACTCCTCATATGTCTCCTTTAGATTTTTTTGTCATCTTTTTATTGATACTTTTAAACCTGAAAATAATTTCTCTGCTTTTCCTGCTATCTGACTTCTAGGTCTGTGTTATCTAGGATGGTAGCCACTAGCCATATGTAGCTATTTAAATTTAAATTAATTAAAATTGAATAAAGTTAATGTTCAATTTCTTAGTATTATTAACCAGATTCCTAGTGCTTAATATACATGTAGTTAGTGAATAGCACAGACATTTCTGTGATCACTGGATTCCCAGTTGAATTATGTTGGTAGGAAAAATATACAACATAGGCTCTTGATAAATGTTTTAAAATGTGTTAATGAACACATACTATACCTACCATTCTTTATTTCATTGCTACATTTTTTGTTTTTAATTTTTCTTTTCTTTTTGAACCATTTTATGATTGACGGGAAATCAGCACTGTGGTATTTTCTCCTTATACATGTTCACACTGTGTATCATGCAGCACTTAGAATACCATAAACAGAAATCTTGGTGGTTAAGGTTGTAGAGATTCCTTCCTTCCTTCCTTCCTTCCTTCCTTCCTTCCTTCCTTCCTTCCTTCCTTCCTTCCTTCCCTCCCTCCTTCCCTCCCACCCTCCCTCCCTCCCTCCCTCCCTCCCTCCCTCTCATTTGAACTCAGGGCCTTGAACTTGCTAGGCAGGCTCTCTACAGCTTGAGCCATGCCTCCCACCTGAGATAACTTTTTGCGTCATATTTCATGTGAAGCTAGGTAATACGTATTTTAAATACTTTTTTTTTTTTTAATTTAAGTTGTAATGGTGACTCCTTGATGATCATTCCTTGGCATGAACACAAACACCGAGCTAAAGATTGGAGCGAGGAATTGGAGTGCAGGTCAGTATATGCCAGCATCTTCATTTCTTTCTGGATGGTGACAGTGATGCCTATGATTGCTTACTTGATGTTGCTTCCTGACTTAAGAGTTTTAGAGAAGTTTTATAAAAACTATTGATTTGGTTATGTTAAAAATTTTAAATGAGAAAATACTAAATATAACAAATTATTCTCAAAATGTTCTTTATTATAACATCTCTTCATTTTAAGATATTCTCTTTCAGTCTTTTAGATAAGCAGATCTGTTTTTCATAGTTATGGTAGACCTGCAATTTTGTTCTTGGTTCAGTTCTAATTTTCATTATAGATTATAAGCTCTAACTTGGGAAAGCCTCAGAATGTGGAGACATGAAATACTGCAGAAAGAGATGGGAGGTCAGGTATGGGGCTCAATGTCCATGTGAGGAACATTTGAATCCTTTTATTCCCCACTCCTCAGAATCAGGCAAATAACCCTCAGTGTCCATGATTTCCTTTCATGAAACCAGAGATAAATTTTTTGGATCAGAGGAACTTTACTTGAGATAGAAGCCTTACAGATTCCTGGATATCAGATATAGCATAGGTGGGGATGCTCTGGTGGCTTTGAAAATCCAGGCAGGTAGAACTGTGGGTTCTACCTCCTCCCTGTTCCTAGTGGCAAGCATCATCTGCAGATAGAAATTTGGAGAATTCTTTTTTGGGGAAATGGAGTAGTCTCTGTAAAGAGGCCTCTACCTCCTGTGGTATGGTTCCCAAAGGTTAGGCACTACTAGGACACAGCGAAGTCAACAATGAGCAATTCCTGTCATACCCACAGAGCTTCTTGGACATCTGAGGAAAGATTCTGCCAAAGAGATCAGGTGACAAAAACATACAGATAATGGAATAGAAAGAAAGAGACACGTTCAGAAAGAAGAAAACTTAAAAGACTATATTTAGTATTGCCTGGGAGATAAGAGATGTTGCATTTGTGAAATTTCATAAGAGTATATAAAATAGGGACAGAGAACTGAGAGAGCTTTGGGGCATTAGAAAATAGGATAGTTGGTATACAAAAATTGGATAGAAGAATTGGAAAATAAAATCAAGAAATTTCTATAGAAATTATGATGAAAATACAGAGCTAGAATATAAGACAACAGATATTAGGAAAACAAATTTAAGGCTGGTGGTGGCCTATGCCTATAAACCCAGGTAGTTAGGAGGCAGAGCCAGGAGGATCAAGGTTTGAGGCCAGCTTGGGCAAAAGTTAGTGAGAACCTATCTCAAAAATAAGCTCACAGTGGTGGTACATGCCTGTGGTCCCAGCTACTCACAAGGTGAAGGTGGTAGGATGGTGATCTAAAGCTAGCTTGGGACAAAGTTAGTGTGAGACCCCATCTGAAAAACAAACTTAAAAAAACCAAAAGGACTAGGAACATAGCTTAAGTGGTAGAGCACAAGGTCTTGTGTTCAATCCCCAGTATCACAAAAATCAATCCCCCCCCAAACAAACACACAAAAATCCAACGTCTCCCCAAAAAATCCACAAGGCTAATATTTCAAGACATTAAAAAAAGGGATGACATAGATAATAGAGGGGAGAAAATTACGAGAAATAACTCTAGCCTGTGTCAGAATTGAAAGCTATGAGTTTACAGATTGAAATGTTCTTTACACTGAACTATACCATCATGATCTTCTAGAACATCAGGCATATATTCTAAAGATAAAGACCACATTTGATGAAGGAATTGGAATCAGAATGACCTTGGACATCTAAAAAGAAAATACTAGAATCTAGAAAGCAATGAACCAATCCTGTAAAACTTTTGTTGGTTTGTTTTGTTAGAAATGGGTTTGAACTCAGGGCTTCACACTTAAAAGTAAGTGTGGTACCATTTGAGACACACCTCCAGTCCATTTTTCTCTGGTTATTTTGGAGATGAGGTGGGGGGTTCTCACAAATTATTTGCCCAGGCTGGTCTTGAATGGTGAGCCTCCCGATCTCAGCATCTCAAGTAGCTAAGATTACAGGTGGGAGCCACTGGTGCCTGGCAATCCTGCAAAACTTTTGAGGGCAATATTTTTGATATAGCTTTCTATATTTAGCTAAAGTCACCAATCAAATATGAGGTAACCATGTAAGTGTTCATAAAATTTACCACTCATATACACCTTATGTCAGGAAGCCATTGCAAGATTTACTTGATTAAAATTGAGGGAGTAAAGTGAGAAAAAGAAAGCTATGAGATTCAAAACTGGACTTTAATCCAGGCATGGCAAAGGTCAGGCCCTGAGTGACATTGTCCCAGTCAGGTGAGAAAGGAGCAGTGCAGATTATTGGGGCACACGAGTGACTTCAAGAGCCAGCTCTCTTAGAAAAAAAATTAACAAATGTGACTATATATACACACATATATTTACATTCTGTATGTTTTTGATTATTGCAAAATATTTTATATTTCACTTTTTTTTTTTTTCTTTGTGGGACTGGGGTTTGAACTAAGGACTTCATGCTTGCAAATCAGGTGCTGTACTGCTTGAGCCATGCCTCCAGTCTATTTTTCTGTGGTTATTTTGGAGATGGGTTTTGGGAACTATTTGCCAGGGTTAGCCTTGAACTGAGATCCTCTCAATCTCCCCCTTCCAAATAGCCTGGATTATAGGTGTGAGCCACCGCACCTGGTTTATATTTTACTATTGGTAGATCTTGCAGAGAAGTTGGAAAGAATTAGCCACAGTTGCATATAAGTGGATAGGAATGGTAGGAGGACTACAGGCAGTTATTGACCCTCTTCCCCCCACTGGATTTATGATCTGGTGTCAAGGGTCCTTGCCTTCACAGTCCAGAGAACTGGCTTGTGAGGCAGCTGAATCATGAGCCAAAGCCTGTATAGAAAGTAGGATTTATTAGAGAGAAAGGAAAGGCTACAGCTAGGGAACTGCAGCAGAGCCCAGAAGCCGGTGGCTGGCTCCACAGGTGAAGGCTGGGGTTTTATGGATGTTCTAACTCTGGGTTAGGTGCATATTTCTCATTGGCCATGGATTCGCGGGCTTTCTCAGGTGAACTGGTTTGGTTTGCATCTTTAATGAGGAAGGGGAAACAATCTTGAGAGCATTTTGCCCATCAGCCCTGTGGCAGATCTGTATCTCTCCTTTAGGATGCAGGAATGCAGGCCTCCATCCCTTCAGGATGTAGAAATGATACTGCCCTCCATGGGGCATGGGATATCACTCATCTGCCTTAGGTCTCTAAACCCAACAATTCCATGGAGTTTTGGGAGAAAGGGGAGCTTCATGCTTGGTATTTACTTGCTATATTTGATTAGAGGTCCTTATTTACTAATTGTAGTGAGAAACAGAAAAGGTAGATAAGTTGAAAAGGTGGGAGGTTGGGGCTGGTGGTGAGGAAAAGTGAGGCCATGCTGCTGACCACCAGTTCTCTCAAAGTCAGAGCAGCTCAGTTAAATTACAGAGCAGTTCTGGTGGCAGAGGCCTGGACCACGGGTTGGATACGTCCCAGTTCTCCTTAGCCTTGCCTTTCTGTAATTCTAATAAGATGCCAGAAATGCAAGGTGTTTTTCGACTAACCAAGCATGTTGAGTGAAAGCAGCCTCGCTGTGTAGGAACTCCTAAATCTAAGCACATGGAAAGCCAGGAAAAGTTCATGGAGGACAAAATGATTTTGAAGATGATGTAAATTTTTGGTAATATAGTAGCATCTGGCTTCAGTTAGGTCCAGGAATTCTGAAGGAAGAAAAGAGCTATGGTCCCTACCCTCATGCAGTGTTGGCTCTGGCAGAAAGGGAAGTGCACTTTGAAGGAGCATTGCAGGACAGTGCTGGAGACAATGGGACCCTCCCCTTGGAGGTGGGGGTAAATTCCTTTGGAGGCTGAGAGTGAAGAGTAAACAGGAAATCACTCAGTGGAGGGTGTGTCTGGCAGTGAGAGAAGGTGGAGAGAAGAGTGTGTTGGAAGGCTCAAAGCAAGGTCCTCTTAAAGGACTAAAAATAAGATTTGTTGAAGTGTATAGAACAAGTTGTGATTGGCATAACTATGAAGTTAGACAATTTTAAGGCAGTTTACAACTTATATAAATATTTTAGGCATGGGGATAATACAATCAGGTTTCTGTTTTGAAAAGGATAGCTGTGTTACTTGAGGATCTTATGAATTTGTTTTTGAACTTCTTGAAGTGTCTGATCTGAAAACAAATAGCAGGAAGATTTTGTAGCTTCTAAGAGAAGTCTGGGTTAGGGGTAAAAACATGGGAGTGCTATAATGTCAGTGGTAATTTTTATGGTGGAGTTGACGGGGAGACCTGAGAGTGAAGAGTGAGGAGAAGAGTGCAGAGTGAGAGAAGAGAGCTGCGCTAAGATGTGGAAGTCTTAGTATTTAATGTTGGATAGAGTAGGGTAGTCCAGCAAAGGTAATGAAAAAGGAGCAGCCAGAAAGCCGAGAGGCATCACAGCAGTATGGCATACTAGAATCAAAGGGCAGTGTGCTTCCAGGAGAAAGTAGTTAAATCTTATCAAATGATGCTGAGAGGGGTGCAGGTAAGAATTGAAAAAAGCATTGAAGGGACTCAGAGCTTCTGGTGACCCTTTTCCTGCTGCAATGAGGCAGATTTAAAAGATTCTGGGAGGAGCAATGTGGCTTTGTGTGGCAGTAGTGGGGAGAAATCCCTGGTAAGACTGTTTATGACACTAGAAGACTAGTAAAGTAAAGGACCTGTAGCTTTACTGCAGTACCAGTTATATGCACAGTAGATGTCTCAGGCATGTGGATAAAATGCCCAAACATTTATGGACTTTTGTGTCTGATCATATCTTATAGTTGTTAAGAATCCCAATAAAAAATAGTGACTATAAATGAATTAAGCATCTGATATATGCCAGGCCATGTTCTCTGTGTTGGCAATAATGGCGTCGATGGGTTTCTGTTTCTTACTGCATCCGTAAGTTTCAATTTGAGCGTGTGCCTCTATGTCCTCTTTGCCGTCTGACTCTCCGCTGAGATGCCTCCTCAAATAATTT